ACAGCCATTTGTCCGAAATGGTATAGGGTTACCTGCCTGAGCAGGGGGTTGGATTTGATGACCTCCAAGGTCCCTTCCAACTTTATTACTACTATTATTATTATTACTATTATTATTATTACTATTATTATTATTTTACGAATGAAGGCAAATATACAACTCCCAGCATAATGTTTCAGGATCCAATCTGGGTTGGTCACTGGGACCAGAGGTTCAGTATTCCAAACTTTTGGACTTGTGCTGGAGCTCGTCTTCAGGGAACTTCTCTCTAGCAGAGTGTGTGTTTTTTCTTTTAATCTGGATGGGAGAGGGTGACATACCAGCAGAATCAAAGGTGCTTTTTCACGAGTCAATTGGACTTTCTTTTTCCTCTTTGAAAATGTTTTTGCTCAGAGCTGAAGAAGCTTCTTGGATGAGAAGCAAAACATCTTCAAAGAGAAAAAAGAAAGTCCAGTTGCCTTGTGAAAAAGCACCTTTGGGACAACCATGACTTGGATGACTGAGAATCTCCATAAACCAAGATAATATTTTTTGAATTTTTAACATATCGAGCCCAGAAAGTTTGCCATCACTGACCTAATGATGAACTAGCCCCTGTGCAATAGAAGGGATCCAGGGAGTGTCATATTGATTGGATTTGGTGGGAAAGGAAAGAATTTTGATTCCTTCCCAATTTACTCCACCCACTTCCCTCCTTTTCCAGAAGAAACTCCACTTTCTGGATATAATGTAACTGAAGGCTTCAAAGAGAAGGGAAGCATAGCATAATCCAGGTAATATATGATTTAAAATCAGCTGCAGCAATAGCAACCTATGTCAAACTGCATCTATCCATCCACGTCCAGCCTGACATAGTTGCTTGAGCTTAAAGTGGTTGTAATTGCTCTTTTAAGTACCTCATTGGTCAATGGGCTTAATATGAGTCCATTAGTTGGACTATTAATTTCCCATTGTGGCTGTTCTGCTTCGTCCATTATTTCTTCATGGGCAGAGATGACATCTGCTCAGTGGTGGGATTCAAATACCTGAACAACCAGTTCTCTGCATGGACGCCACTTCCGGAGGTCTGTTCTGAGCTGGGGAGGTCTCCCAGGCCCAGAATGGCTTACTGAAAATGAGTGGATGCCACTTCAAGAAGTATTTTCTGATCCTGGAGGCCTGGGGAGGCCTCCCAGGCCCAGAATGGCCCATTGGAAGTGTATGGACGTACATCCGGTGGGCCGTTCTGGGCCTGGGAGGTTTCCCCAGAACAGATTTCCTGGGAGGTTTCCCCTGCTCAGAACAGATTTCCACTTCTGGCAAGCCATTCTGGGAAGCCTCCCTGGCTCAGAACAGACTCCCGGAAGCGGCATCCACGCACTTCCAGTGGGCCATTCTGGACCTTGCAAAAAAGGGCTAGGGAATCAGCCAGTTCACCAAAGTCAACAAAAAATAGCTGTTGGTTCTACCAAAATGGTGTGAACTGGCTGAATCACATCACTGCATCTGCTCCATTGTCCTCTGTTTAAGGAGAAACAGTAGATTCACACTTCTGCTTTTCTCTATTGTTTGAGGAATTCCATAAAGATAGGATAGGAATATTGAATCAGAAACTACAATTTAGGGTCACTGAATCGGCAGCAAAATCTAGATTATTACTGAATGGAAAAAAGATATTAAAAATTTCTTTGCTACCCTATGAATTTTCTGTGTATTACAGCATAGATCTGGTTGTCTTATGATATCTAACACATGATATTTACAAATAAGTGATAAATAAGGTGGTTTACTGAATGCATGGAACATGGTAGGCAGTGCCCATCTGCTGTAATGGAACAGCCTTCACTATGTATATGAATAAAATATTTATTTATATAAATGGAAATTGGCTGTTGTTTAAGAGAAGGCAGAAAGATTTCTCTCAGCAGCTTGAAAGCCAATAATTAATTGCAGTACTTTCCCCAGATCTATAAATAGAGCATAAAAGATGTAAGCTCTATGAGCATGACAAGTAAATACCACCAGATGTCATATACACATTAACGTAAGGGAAAATCAGATGTAGTTGTCCCAATAGAGGCAACAGGCGAATGGTTCATTGGCAAAAAGTCCTAGTTTAAATCCCCAGAGATCTCAATTAAAGAATCTAAGGTAACAGAATTGGGAAAGAGTAAAACCACAGAGGCCTGATCCTACCTAAGTACAATGTTTTTTATAAAGATTTAGATTAGTAACATTGCCATGAGCTGTCTGGATAATCTTGGGCCATTCACTTCATATAGGTCTATTACCTCCCACCAGCTTATTCTGGTGATAAAAAAAAAACCTGTAGGAGTGGAATCAGTTTTCAGGTTCTTGGAAGAAAGCATTATTTAAATATCTTAAGCAAAAATAGTGCACATACGACCAGAACTTCAAGGGCAGTTTGAGCCAGAGGCATCTCTGTGTTACAGGCAGCATTTTAAAATTAATTGTGAAGCAGAACTGGTCCCTAATGATGATGTAAGCCAAAAAATCATGCTGTTTGTTGAACACATGGATACTTTTGTTTGCCTCACATTGTTTTTATTTTGTTTGACAATGTAATTTAGAGGTATAGTAATTGGAGTGACATTATGGAAAGTAGATCATACAATTTTTATTTTTATTACTCTTGTGAATGTATTGAATTCTATTTAAAAACAGAAAGGATGAAGTATGAATTAAAGAAATCATTTTGCATCTAAATATATATTTATACTGGTGTTCAAACAATTATGATAAATCAAACCTAGAATTAGTTTTTCTCTACATTCTCTAGAAAAATGAGTGGCTAATGGTGAAAAAATTTCAACAAGGAGCTTTGCATTCTGAGAAGTTGTGTGCACGGGACACAATCAGGATGTGTGGACCAGATGTGTGGAAAAACCTCAGGTATTTTAATAATGTGAAGAGAATTTTGTCTGAAATGGTATAGAGTTTCCTGCTTGAGCAGGGGTTTGGACTTGAAGATCGCCAAGGTCCATCCCAACTTTGTTATTCTATTATTCTATTGTTCATATTAGTATATTTTTCAAATGTTTCACACTGGTCTATTTATTATAATATTTTAATATTAACAAGTACTGAAATTATAAGTCTAATTTGAAAAACTTGATAGTATGTAAAAATAATATAAAGCTAAAGCTGATATTTGGGTTCCTGGCATTTAAAAACCAAAAAGTATTTGGCTGCATTGCAAGAGCAAGAACAGGACAAAATAATTGTAGTGTTCATTCATTAACTTCGTTATAATGTGTTAACTGAATGAATGACTCATTGTCAAAATTTATCTTAAATTTACTCCTTTTCCTTTCCTGTGTATACATCACAGATATTCATGGCTCTTTAGTGTTTAATATAACACTTAAGGTTTTACTTCTTAAACCAGATTCTTACTTAGGCATAAATGGAAACAGGACTAGCAAAGGGATATAAGGAGCAAACTAATGCTTCAATTTTTAAAACCCTTTCCTGATTTAAAACTGCTTGAATAATAAATTAATTGTCCCTTTCAACATCCTTAATCATTTGCAACATGTCAATCATCAAAATATAAGGAGATAATAGTCTACATCTGACAGTTGTAGAATGGATTTTAATTTTTATAAAATACTTAAGGTTAATTATAGTGTGTCAAAAATAATCATTTTTAATTGAATTCATTAGTGGATGAAACAAAATGACAGACAAAATAAAAATAACTTTTCATGATGGGTAAAGATAAATATGTAGCAATTGGCCTTTGCTTTTATATATTTTATATTTTTGTGTGTCTGTCTGCTAATATTAAACTGCCCAAATGGTGGTAAAACTGCTTAGGTTAATTTTTCCAAACTTCTGAAACACAAAGAATTTACTGTCAGCTTATGTGAATATTATTGACCACTGTTCCAGCTATCATCCAAGAGAATTTGTATTTGGTTCCCCCAAGAATCCTGGTTCTGGAAGGTCTCTGACCTGCTAGAATTGTAATCAGAAGAATAAATAACCTTAAGGAATAAGATGAACAGCTGTTGTCTAGTTCACAGATAAAGAAACCTGAGTCTGGGGCAGAATTGTACTGAGGTTTGCTAGACTGATTTCAGCCCTTCATGGTAGATCAGACTAGGAAATAAAATCATGCAGATCAATATTAATTTTATTATGAAGCTCCCCCACTCTGTTTTGACTTATTTCTATATGTACTAAATGGAATTAGGATCATATAAACTTAAAGTTCTGAATCTGCTACAAATATTGTATTATTTGTACCTTATGCATGAGCTAAGAAACTGTACATACTAAATTTGAAGCACATTATCAAGTTCAGATTGTCTAGATTTGTAGACATGAGTGTCAGTGTGATAATCAATCATAGGTTTCAAACAGAGTAAAAGAGATTTTTGAAATTCCTACTTCAGTACCATATGTTGAATGGGCTGAATATCTTTAAATACTTTCAGGCAATTTGAGGGATAATACATAAGTGGGCTAAAATGGATTTACTGAAGATTAATACTCTTAGATAAAAGGTATTTTAGCCACAGAGTATAAACCCATAAACCCATGAAAGGTTTTAGAGATTAAACTTTGTACAATAAATTCTGTAATTACTGTATGCCCAGAGGCAAAACTAAATGTAAATTCAGGAACATAGCTTTAGCATTTTTTTCTTAAGCAATTATTAAGAATATAAACAATTATTAGTCTATATAAAAATGACATTCTAGAACATAAATATTCATAGTAACAGGAAAAGATATGAACAACTCTTGCATTTTAGAAAGTAACAAAATGGGATCAGTAACAAGCAGAATTTATGATATGTTGTTTCTGAGGTTGGGAAGTTGGAGTGATACAATAGCTGTTGGACTAAAATTTCACAAGAAAAAAAATCAATGAATTTATTTTTACCTTATCATATCCTCTTAAAATAGTAGAGCTCTTTATTAGAATTTTTCACTCTTTTAAAATAAAATCCTACATTCAAACAAAGCATATGTTGAAGCATATTTGCTTACCTCCATCTAGTTCTTCTGCACCAAAATGGTTCCTGTAGAATAGCATAATTTCTATCTTGTAGCACTTGTAAATAGTCACTAAACAAACAAGTAGCAGCAGAATGGCACCAAGCCCTCCAGCAAGTTCAACTGTATACATCAGCTCTAAAAAGAAGAATAAAAATTAATAACAACCACATTCTGAACTAAAAACACTTATTTGTTATCATATCTTGGGGAAGAAGTAATTTTCTGGTTTTTTTGAATGCAGAAACAATGACTTTTTCTAATTTCTTGGTATACAGAGAGAGACAGAGAGAGAAAGAGAGATAGGGGGAGAGAGTAGGCATTAATAATTTTGTGGTGTACAACTGGTGTATGACATACAACATTCACATAGGATGAAGCTAAGTATCAGTCCTTTTCTCAACACAAAATTGCCATTCCTTTTTTATCAGCTACATTTGTTTTAATATATCCCTCCTTCCCTGGTGCTATACAATTCATAACTTCTCCTCTACTATATAAATGGGTTTGACTTTTTTTAAAAAAATGTTGAAAATCATCTCAATTTGTCATTTTTGACATTCTGACATTAAGAGGTGAAATATTATCATTTTCTTGTGTAGCATTGTACCATGGGATATTATATGATTGATTGAAATCACTGCCAGGTTAGTTTCCAAAGAAGAAGAAGCTTGGGCAAATGTGGTTATATCTGTCTGTTTTCAATAATCATTTGGTACTGTCATTTCTGATATTATGTCAGTAAATGGCAATGTCATCTTTGGTCATTGTCCTCACATTTTCTAAGCAGGTAAAGACATGTACATGTACATGTAAAGACATTTCCATTTGAGGTCAACTATATTCTGGTTGTTTGCCTGAAAGTTCTATGATAGATGAAAACCACTAATAAAGCTGCAGTGCCAGACCATTTCCCTGGAAATAACCCCAATAAAAATATGATTTCTTGGAAATTATTTCAGTATCATAAGGATGTTATACTGAATTTTCACTAAGGATGAAGAATTGTATATTGTTCTAAAAAAGTGTTAAAGTTGACTTGGATAGTACGTTGTGTAGCATTTATCTTTTAAAAAATGGATTATGACTGGAGTAAAAAAAAAAGCCTAATAGAAGAATACAGACACAAACAACTCTACTTATATTCAACGATTTCTGGGTAAAGACTGTTGGTGGATCAGATATCCCTGCAAGCAGCTTCACAACTGAAGACGGTTCCTAGTGGTGGAATCACCACTACAAGACAGTTTTCTAGCAAAAGAAAATGTCTCTGGAGAAAAGATCTAGGAATGACTCCCTTCTGTTTCTTGTGATGAGGCCACAGGAATTGAATTTATAACACATTCTTAGCCACTGTGTGCAAACTGTGCAGATATTTCACAGTAAAAGTCTCATTTTCTTAAACACCTTTGGAACTTATTGATTTACAACCTAAGACCAATATTATAAACAGCATGGAAGATCAAAGTCTCCAATCAATTGCCTTCTTTCTGAAACTAAGATTAGGGGGAAAATGCCTTCTTAAAGGATTTTAATTTAAAAGGAAAAAGCTTAACAATATTGTGACTGAAGAAAGTTCTAAATGGATGTAGGTGAAAATATTTTTTTCTGACATATCTACCTTTCAAAGTAGCAAAATTAATTAAACTAATGGATAGGTCTGTTGTGGACACGTTTATTGTTTATTATTAAGGACAGTAGATAATTGGTGGACAAAACAAGTGTGTGAGTGTGCATGTGTGTGTATGCATGTGTATAATACACACACACACACACACACACAAACACTAAATTTTAAGTACTATGCAAAGCTTATTGTAATTAAAGTATAAAATGTACAAAAAAGCAAATAAAAAGTAAAAGAATAAGCCTGCTTTTCACTTTTACTATTGTAACTGGCATACTTTCACTTTCTCACATAGCAGCCGCAAGAAAAACTGCTATGTTAGGAGAAGGACATGACCACAGGGATGCTGTAATGGTCATAAGTGTGAAAAATGATCATAAGTCACTTTTTTCAATGCCATTGTATCTTCAAATGATCACTAAATGAATAGTTGTAAATCGAGTGCTACTTGTAGAAAGTTATGTTGTCTGTCATGAAAATATACTGAAAGAGATTGACGCAATCTTTAGTTACATCTGTGCATATTTTACTTGACCCTTTGGTATTGTAAAGTATTTATAAATTCCATCAATATTGTTAAACCTGGGGAAGACAATATGAATACAAGTTCAATGCCATTGATGGCAATGACATTCAGAATACAGGATTGTTAGCTCTAGGAATATTACTATTTTGGGTTTGTTAGCTCAAAAATATAATAAAATGTTTATGTCCCAGTAATTGATCATTACATTTCCACAAGACCCTTACTCTTTTCTTGAAAGAATCTGGCAGGCTAAGCTTAACACTATCCATGTTGCTATGTAGGATTTAGTTTAGAGAGTCTATTACTGCATAGCACCATAGACCGTATTTCAGTTAGAGCACTGCAAACCTGGAGGGAAAAACATAAGCAACTATATTTATTGTCTTTGCTTAGGTATCTTTATGTTTATATTTCTCTAATGGAGATGCATGCAGTTGCTATAAAAGCTTCAGAATTCTCTAGCAGGCAATAAAATGTAATTACATATGATTTTTTTAAAAAAGAATTTATTGTTAATACTCTTCTCTTCAAAACTCTGGTGTAATTTCCTACATATTCTAAAGTTTTTAGTTTCATATATTTGACACGTTTTTATCTATAGGAAAAATAAATAAACCCACAACAGCTAAATTAAAATTGTTATAAAACTGAGTAGAAATTAAATGGACATAAAAATTATATAGCATAGCCTCACCATAATTCTTTTTATTAGTTTCTGTCACATGTGATGCAGCTGTTCAGCAGTAAACAGGAGATGGGAATTTAATGTGCTAGGTTCAAACTACACCATTTATGTCCCTTCTATAATGATAATGCATCACATCAAGGAGAAAATATCAGCATAAAAACATCTACCCTCCTATCACCAAATTAATCTGGGATGATTTCATGGATTTTTTTGTCATTATATATGCTCCTAAAAACACTTCATTTGGGATCTTTAAATAAGGTTTATGCTTTAGGTGTTATAGCTGTCAAATCCCTGTAGCATATAGATTTGTTTGTTTCAGTTCGGTGCAGTGTAATATAATTGCATTTAAATGTTTATGGGCCATGTCTTTGTTCCCTGATTTTGTGTGCAATCTGTAGTTGCTGTCTATAGCATTCCTTGCATTATAGTTTAGACCAAAATTTCTGTGTGGAAGCTCTTCCATGCCTTCTGGATTATAAGCTTTTAAACTGTATGACCTGAGCTCCATCAGGCTCAAATAATTATAGGCTGTTTGGGAGTTAGGAGTGAAATCCTTCCATCACAGGTTAGTGGAAAAAGAATGAAAAGGTACACCATTCCCCTCCTTTCAAGGGGAAAAAGGCACAGAAATAAAGTGCTCAGTGAAATAAAAAAGGGCAATGAAGAAATTCTCTTGGGGATTGAGCCAGCAATTTTTATTTAGAATTTTAGCCATTATATTATTAGAGAACTCATGAGAGGAGTAGTTCTAAAATATACTCAAAAGAAATAGGACAATTAGGATTTTTTTTTAAAAAAAACCTTTCCTTATTGTGCCTGCACATATGTGAATTTTTATGCAATAATCTTGGATGTACAAATTCAGCTTAGCATTGTTTGTATGTATATATGTAATGTACTGTATCACAATGTATGTGTATGTGCATAGATATGTGTATAATGTTTAAGTTTAGGAATATTATACTTATACATTATATTGACATGTGAAGGAAAATGATTGGTCATTGTTTTCTTGGAACAGTAGAACAGCAGTTGAATTGTAAAATAAGAAGGTGTGGTAGCCTGCAGTCCAGATAGAATACATTGCAAACTGTTGCCAAATTCTCTGAGTCAGAACATTTTTAAGTCAATTTAAAGGTAAGCTGGCATGAGGACAGCTTAAATATTAAGTGTAGATAAGCCCTAAATTAATTTAACAAAAAAAGTATCAACAGAAAAAGAAACTGCACATAGGCTTGGCAACATAGATAATGTATGCATGATATATCGGGCATTGTAAGAAATGTCCCTGTGATTTTTGTGGATTCCAGTGATTTTTAAAGACAATATAAGAAAGATCCCATGTATATGTGGCAGATGCCTACCATAAAATTTAGATTTTGGAATCCATTACTTCAATACAAAAATATATCCGTCCTTTACTTTGGGAACTTACTGGATGAAACCATTACAAATGAAAAGCATAATGGTTCTAAGTCTATATGAAATTAAATAAAAACAAAATATAGATATACAGTATGTGTTATGAATATATAGCATGCTGTATTATTAGACATCTAATAATATATTATATTTTTTATTTAATTTTAAGCTTTTTTCAAAGATTTCTTATAACGAAGTCCCATGGCATGTTGCATGCATTTTTTTAAAGGTTCTGGGGAAAACAACTGCAATTCAAATCAAGAATTGCCTACTTTGCTATTGTGTTCTAATATTAAATTACAGGTCCTTCAGTTTTTAAGAAATCAGCACTCTTAAAAGCTGTCAATGAAAATTACCAGATGTTTCCTATGAGAAGTAGCATTATGCCAACTGCAGGAAATATATGAGTGTCAAATAGCTACATAGGGGGACAAAACAATCATTTAGCAGTTAACAATATTCATTTGGCAGAAGAAGTCTAAATTTATTTTTAGGGAAAATCCATTAGTAGCAACAGTAGTATATTTTTTGGGGGAAGGAGATTGATTGTTTAATAATAAATTGTTTTAATGCCCTATAAGTGATTTGATCAAGGCATAGATCTGTTCTCTTATCTGGATAATTAAATCACCAACCTCAGTTAAAGAACAATTAATTAAAATTTATATTTTCTGGACACATTGAATGGCATCATGAATGATAGATGTGTTTATTTTATAAAAAGTTTACTATAATTATCAGATGCATTTATGGGCTATATATTTCATCTGCACCTGTTTTTAATTTTTGATGAATTTCCTCAGCAATGACACACAGGTAATTTAGTTATCATTAACTGCATTTGCACAGAGAAGTAAATAATGAAAGAATGT